CAATTGTATCAAGCATATTTGTATATATGTTGCCATCATCATTTTCCAAACATTTACTTTCTATTTGAGCCCTTCATATCTGCTCCTCTCCCCACCCCTTGTGACCCCTTCAGAAATTATAAGTCATTATTGTTTTCATATCTTACACCGACCACTGTCTGCCTTCACCCACGTTTCTGTTGTTGATCCCCCTGGGTGGGGGGTGAGGATTATGTGTCCATTATTGCAATCACTTCCCATTTCTTCCCTTTCTCCCCTCCACCTTCCCCCTACCCTCCTCGTATCACAGTTCCCATTTCTGTTCCTGAGAGGTATATCTGACCTGTATTCTGTGTGTTGTGAGCTCTTATCTGTGCCAGTGTACATGCTCCGGTCTAGCCAGAACAGAAAAGCAGGACTGGGGTCATGATAGTGGGGCTGGGGGTGGGGTAGGAGCCTCAAAGAGCCAGAGGACTATTGTGTGTTTCATCGGTGTTATATTGCACCCTGGTCGACTCATCCCTACCTTGTGACCCTTCTGTGAAGGATGTTCCATTGTCTAAAGATGGGTTTGGGGTCTCTGCTCTGAATGCCCTGGTTCTCAACAATGCGTTTTTGTTTTGTGTATTCTGGTGCTTGTTACCTGATTCCATCGACACCTCATGATCACCAGGCTGGAGTGCTTCTTTCATGTGCGCTTGTTGCTTCTCTGCTAGATAGCCATTTGTGTAGCTTCAAGTCTTTAAGACCCCAGACACTATGTGTTTTGATAGCCAGGCACCATCAGCTTTCTTCACCACATTTGCTTATGCACCCATTTTGTCTTCAGCGATTGTGATGGGAGGGTGAGCATCACAAAATACCAGATTCTGTGTTGCTTGCATTGAGAGAGGGCTTGCATTGAAATTGTTCTTGCATTGAGAGAGGGTTTGAGCAGAGGTCCAAAGTCCATCCACTTCCTCAATGTATTGCCATATAAATATATGTTCATAGACCAATATCTCTATTTTATGACAATATGTTTACATATGTATGTACACACCTATGTTTAAACCTCTATCCATATCTTTGCTTCCAAGTTATTTCCTCTGTTTCCTTTTACCTTCCTCCTGCCCCACCATCACACTCACCCTTCTTCTGCCTTTTAGTAATTCCTCTCAGCTAGATTGCTATTGCTTCAACACCACCAGAATCTCTACGTCAGTGGTTCTCGACCTTCCTAATGCCACGGCCCTTTAATACAGTTCCTTGTGTTGTGCCTCATGACCCCAACCATAAAATTATTTTTGTTGCTACTTCATAACTGTAATTTTGCTACTGTTATGAATGGCTGGCGACCCACAGGCTGAGAACCGCTGCTCTACCTCCTCCTCATTGTTGCTTTTAATTCTCTAGTTGTTCCCCTATCTATGGCATTGGATGCTCACTGCTCTTTTCCCCACCTCCTCCTCCCCCAGGTCCCCCCAGAACTGTTGGCCCCATTGCTTTCTCCTTGGGCTTATTTCCCATGCCTACCTTATATTGGTAGGCAAAACAACAATAACAGAGAGAAAACAAAAGATTAAATAAAAGAGAAACAAATTGGAACACACACCCCCGCCCCCCAAAAGAAGCATATATAATTCTAGGTGTCCACTGACCTTTATGACTATCTCCTCACCATCCTGGGGGCTTCTGGGAATTGCCTCTCCTATAGTGAAGTCTACTTTTGGGGCTCCTCGGGGGTTTTGTGGCTTTGCGTTTCTTCCATTGCTGATCTGTTATGTTCCCTTCTTGGTTCCCCCTATTGTGGGGATGGTCAGAGAGGACTCACTCCCTGCCGTGTGTCCCCAGTATTGTCCTCTGTCTCGGTATGCTCCAGCAAGGGGACATCATGTCTCCAGCTATCGTCGGCCCTACAGTCCCCTCTGTGCCTTAACAGCTCCGTGAGGGCTGTCATCCTCAGGGCTTGGTGTGCCAGTGTGGGATCTAGTCCCCTATTCTCTCTCTTTCCTTCTTGGTTTGCTTCTGTATAGGCATGGCAGGCCGGCCCTCTCCCCAGCCTGTAGGGTTAGTGTTATCCTCTGTAGCACATACTTCTAGGAGATGGTGGGTATGTGAGTCAGGTTAGCTCTGATTGGGGCCAGCCCTGTACCAATCTAGTTTTTGCAAAGGCCATATCATGCTGCTGACCAGTCTGTGGACCGGTCTTATGATAATGACCTTAGCAAGCTCTGCTATTTGGTGGCTGTGGTTTTCTCGGACCCTGTGGGCAGGCAGTATTGATTCCCATTCACCACTCCACGAATAGTAACATGAACAACGTGCTCTCTGCCCCATTATCCACTAGAGTTAGAAGTGTTTGATTTTCAGAGACCAAGGAATGCTAGTTGTATGTGAACCCTCCGACCCCCGAAGTAGTCTCCTTACTTGAAGGCTGAAGGCACCATGGCCCTACACCCAATGAACAGGCACTGGCAGCTCCATGCCCGTGGTGTGCCTGGAACAGGGCAGTCACAGCTCTCCCCTCTGTTCCAGGCCTAACTTTTGCCACAGTTTCACTGAAACAGCCTTGGGCTGCTTGTCTAGCTAGCAAGTCTCCCCACAGCTATTTCCTGGTCCCCAACAGAGGCATCTCTGTTTCCTTCTCACCCTGCTCCCCTCCTTGTGAGGCACCAAGGACTCCAGGGAGATCCCAGCACTTGGGGTCCCAGTCTGCCTTCACCCTCGCTACTGCCTGCACTCACCTATCTCTTTCCTTAAGCATCAGACCAGGGTTTTTATTGCCAAGCCTGCTGTCTTAAGGTGGGTAGCTAATATCGCCACCGTGCTAGCCCGTGTAACCTGCTTCTTACTCTAATGACAATTCCTCTTCCAGCCGCTGGGCCTTCCTTTAAGCAGCCATTTCAACTAAGAAGGACAGCACACAAAAGGAGCCAGGCTAAAGGAGGCAACCAGTGTCCTGGTATCTTTCTTAGTCATAGCAACCCACACTACATTCAGGAGTCCTAACAACTCTTGAGGCATTTGGGGGTGTTCCTGTAGCCACAAGCCGGTGCCCAGGTTTGTGGGAGTGAGGCGGGTTACTGGAACGATTTGCATGATGACGTTATACAGTTGACACTCACAATTACTGCTCTTGTGCGCGCTGGACTGTATCTTTGTGATCAGGAGGGAGGAGGAAGCAGTCATAATGGTATGACTCTACATTTCGGCGGAGATGCCTTGTTCCTCCGGATGACACGGAATACCTGCTTAGCTGAAGTGCGACCATTTTGGAGCGTTAGCTAGTAGTCCAACATATATACGTATGAACGGAGATCTGATTGGAGGGCAGAGGATGTGGATCTCACCGCCATTTGACCGCCGACAGTTCGATTCAAAAGAGCAGATACTGAGGCTCCTGCAGAAAAACGTGTAGCCAGGAAACTGATGCTGCCGGGGGGCGGAGGTGGGGGTGGGGGGTAGCTTTCAGCTTTCAGCACAAACATTAAGGGGAGATATCGTACCGCCGCCTGGTTTTTGATCAAGAGAGGCCCGCCGCCCTACCTCCTACGTGCAGGGCCAGTGGCGCAATGGATAACGCGTCTGACTACGGATCAGAAGATTCCAGGTTCGACTCCTGGCTGGCTCGACTTGTGCCGTCGCCTTTTCTCGCTTTTTCTAAGCCCATTTAAAACCAATCGAATACGAGAGTCCGGGCAATATCAAGTTTCCCTGAAAGTTTCTGTAGCGCAGAAGTCGTTTCCTTTAACCGCAGCTAGAGCGACACTCTTTTGAAAGGCAAATTCTGCATCTGACCAAACGGTGGCGCTGCCCAAAGCGCACGGTACCCAGCCTCGACTAGCCATCCCAGCGGAAGGATACATTTGAAGTAACTTTATTGCAAAAGGAAAGAATTAAAGCTTAGACTGAAAAGGCTCTGGCTGCGTGCCTCTGATTTCTGTGCTTTGAGAGCCCGACACAGAAACACGACGTACACCAACATGCCACCTGTTCAGAAGGAAGTCCATGAGAGAACACTGCATTTCCGAAAAGGCCTTCTTATAGAGTTTCCGTAGTGTAGTGGTTATCACGTTCGCCTCACACGCGAAAGGTCCCCGGTTCGAAACCGGGCGGAAACACGTCTTTTTTCCATCTTGATGACGTTCATTCGTTTGCAGAGCTGGGAGTGTTCTTGCATTTTGCGTGTGTGTTTTCAAAAAGTATTCATTTCTTGAAGTCGCACACCTTCCTTCATACATCCCATTTCTGCCTTACTCGCTCGGGCCAAAGTGCTAAGGCGATGCTGCCGGTGGGGGGCGCTCGGAAGCCCCTGGACCGGAGAGGCCCACCGTCCTCCTTCACCAGGGGATCACTGCGCTCTCCGGGCCCGGGGCGCGCGGCCGGCAGCCCGCAGCCCCGGAAGCGCATCCTCGCCTCCTGTCGCCT